TAAAAAAAAAAAAAAAAAGCCTCCAGAGAGCCGGGCCGTGTGGTGCATGTCTGCATGTCTTCAATCCCAGCAGAGGCAAGCAGTTCTTTGGCTTGCAGGCCAACCTGGTCTAGAGTTTCAAGACAGCTAGAGATGTCTCAGGGGTAGAAGTTGGGGGTTTAAAAAAAAGGGGGGGGGGCTAAGATGGGGCTTACGCATGCCTGCAGGGCATTTTCTTAAGGGTAGAAGGGGGAGGGCCCAGCCCATTCTGGGTGGTGCTGCTACTGGCTGGTGGTTCTGGGTCCTATGAGCAGGCTAAGCAAGCCTGAGGCAAGCTGAGGCAGAAGCCCTTCCATGGCCTCGGCCTCCAGATTCCTTCCCATCTTGACTTCCTTTGATGATTAACAGGGCTGTGGAGGTGTAAGGTAAATAAACCCTTTTCTCCCCAAGTTGGTCATAGTGTTTCATAGCAATAGAAACCCTGCAACAGTCCCGTAAGTGTAATTGGGCCAGTGGACAGGTTGTTCCCAGTTGCCTCCACCTTTTTACTGTTGAGTATATGCACATTGTGTAACCACCGCCATCATCCAACTCCACTTCCAACTAGATCTTCCCATTGCTTGAGACAAGGTCTCATGCAGTTTAGGCTGGCCTTGAAGTCCTAATCCTGCCTGTACTTTGTGTGAATGGATGGAACCCAGGACTTCATGCATGCTAGACCACTAACTACCACCTGCTAGCCAGCCCCAGGTTATTTGAACCTATGGAGGACCACTTCCTCTGCCTCTTCATGGTGGTGGAACATCTTAGTGCCTCCTGCACTACTACCAACCCTCCCTCCCCCATGCAATGCATTCTGATCAGGATTCATCCTATTCGATGTACTGCCACCACTTTGACTTTGCCATTCTCTGTCCACGGCTGTTTGTGTGGTACTGATGAATTAGGATCTTGCACATCCCGCCTACACCAGAGGCTAGCTGCACCATCCAGGTTGTCACACTCAAGTGAGCAGGATTTCCCTATAAAACTTTGCTGGCTTTAACACAGAACCCCATTGCACCCTGGCTACCTCTTCCTAAACCAGTTTCTTTTTTTCTTTTTCTTTCTTTTTTTTTTGGTTTTTTCAAGACAGGGTTTCTCTGTAGTGCTGGTGCCTTTCCTGGAACTTATTCTGTAGACCAGGCTGGCCTGGAACTCCGATATCCGCCCGCCTCTGCCTCCCAAGTGCTGGGATTAAAGGCGTGCACCACCAAGTGCCTGACTCCTAAACCAGTTCTTTATTGCTTAAATGTTTTCAACCACCTTCTACCACTAAGCTACAAAGATTCTAGTACCTCTTATTTAAAAAAACGAAACACATTTCACACCTTTTTTTTTTAATCTCATCTGTATTTACCTTTTAAAGTAGAATATGACCAAGCACTATATTTCCATTCAGACTTGAAGGGTTACAAGACCTAGGGAAGCGTAGGGTTTTGTTTTCAGTACTTTGGAAAACAAGCCACATGGGGAATTCTTCTGTTTTAGCTTGTGTTCTTCTAAGACTACAACATGCAGAATGACTACAGGGGATGAAAAATTTTAAGATGAAACTTAAGCCATCTTAATTTTTTTCCTTTTAAACATGAAGCTAAATCTCAGAATACTCCCAAGTGACAAATTATTTGGTCTACTAAGGAATCCAGCTTCTGAACAGCTAAACACTTCAGACCACAAAGTTAATAGGTTACATTACGTCTTACAACAAACGTTCTACCAACCTGTTGAATTAAACCTATAGTCTCACAGTATCACAAGTAGAAAGAAATTTTATCTTCCCCTTAGCTTACATGCCACACAGATGTTTTAAACGTTAACAAAAATAAACAAAAATCCTGGAAAATATATTATCAGAGAAGGAATGAAGGTAAGCGTCAAAGTTCTGGTGAAGTTTAGTCTACTTCTTCCATGCGCGATGTGTCGTCATCTCCTTCCAGGGGTGGCATCTCTTCAGTTACAGCAGCACTGGTATCATCCACAGTAGGATCATCTTCATCAATACCTTGATTTGAAAATATAAGTGTTGCAGTTGTTAATGCCAGTCTCAAATTGCTTTAGACTGAGCATTAAAAAAATACAAAACCAAAAAAAACACCCCAGGAACCTCATTCATACTGGGCAGGTCAAGTATATGCCTGTAAACCTCAGCACTTATGAGGCAGAGGCAACAGAATCAGTCCAAGGCTACCCTCAGCTATCTGAGGCTAAGTCTGGGCTAATGTGACTACCTCAAAACAAAGGACACTATTCATTTACCCCTTACATAGCTGAGGTCTTCCACAAGAGCAATAATCCAATTTTTGTCTCAAATAGCTCATAATGAACACGTTTCTTTTCCTTCTAACATGTAGTCTGCAGCTTACCTAGACCAAGCTTGATCATCCTGTAGATCCTGTTAGCATGTGTCTGGGGATCTTCCAGACTAAAGCCAGAAGACAGGAGTGCAGTTTCATACAGCAAGATGACCAGATTCTTCACAGACTTGTCATTCTTGTCAGCCTCCGCCTTTTGCCGTAGGGTTTCAATAATGGAGTGGTCAGGGTTTATCTCCAGGTGCTTCTTTGCTGCCATGTAACCCATTGTTGAGTTGTCTCTGAGGGCTTGAGCTTTCATGATTCTCTCCATGTTTGCTGTCCACCCGTATGTGCTCGTGACAATACAGCATGGGGATGTCACCAATCGGTTTGATACAACCACCTGTTTAAAAACAAAAACACACCAAGTGATGACTAAGGCCTATAAAAACTTAGCAAAAATACATGCAAGTGTAGGTACCAATCAGCAGTTATGTAATCCAAACTATTTTTTCTTCTAAGATAAAAGGACCAAGTAGCAGGTCAGTGATAGAAATGCAGGGAAACGTTCACATACCTTTTCAACCTTTTTCTCCAAAATATCTTTCATAATTTTGCAGAGGTTTTCAAATTTTGTCTTTTTCTCTTCCTGTTTCTTTTTCTCCTCTTCATCTTCTGGGAGTTCCAGTCCTTCTTTGGTAACTGACACCAAGGTCTTACCCTCAAATTCCTTCAGCTGTTGCACACAATACTCATCAATGGGCTCAATCATATAGATTACTTCTAAGCCATGCTTTCGGAGTCGTTCCACAAAGGCCGAGTTAGCAACTTGGTCCTTGGTCTCACCTGAGAAATAAAGTTACTTTTAGAAGTGGTTTCATGCACTCAACTTTTCTACCTAGCTACAGGCTTAAGTGTAACTAGATTGGACACTCTTGCTTACAAAAAATGCTGTCCTCAGCATCACACAGGTAGAGAAAACACCATCACCTGTGATAAAGTAGATGTGCTTCTGGTTTTCCTTCATTCTGGTGCAATAGTCCTTGAGAGAAACCATCTCATCTCCAGAAGCAGATGTGTAGTACCGCAACAGCTCTGAAAGTTTCTTCCGATTTTGAGAGTCTTCATGAATTCCAAGCTGAAACAAACCATAAGGCACATGAACATTTCCCATTTACAGATAGAAACACTTGGGAGGCAGAGGTATCGAAGTTTGAGGCCAGCCTTTAATTCCAACACTCAGTGAGTGTAGACCAGGCCAACCTGGTCTACAAAGTGAATTCCAGGACAGCCAAGGCTGTTACAGAGAAACCCTTTCTCAAAAAACAAAAACCAAACACTTGTCTCAAAAACCAACCACCAGAAACCAAAGCTAGTTTGAAAACTGCCAGTTAACAGGAAAATGTGTCAACACCAACCTTTATATTTTTTGAGAACTGCTCATAAAACTTTTTGTAGTTTTCTTTATCTTCTGCCAGTTCAGTAAATAGTTCTAAACATTTCTTGACCAAATTCTTTCTGATAACTTTCAAAATTTTGCTTTGCTGCAACATTTCACGGGAAATATTTAGAGGAAGATCCTCAGAATCCACCACTCCTCTAATGAAATCTGGGTAGGAAAAGAAGACCAAAGATAACTAAACACTGTAATGCATCATCTTTTATCTCCAGGGGACTGAACCTAGAGAGCCTCAAGTTAGGCAAGGACTCTGCCAACAGTTTACATCCTCAGCCCCCCTAAACCAATACAGACCCCAGAAGTAATAGGATCCATTTTCTTGACTGTTTGTTGTTAACACTGCTTATTCTTCCTACTCATACTTACTCAGATACTCAGGGATTAACTCCTCACAGTTATCCATGATGAAAACTCTGCGCACATACAACTTGATGTTGTTCTTTTTCTTTCTGTTTTCAAACAGATCAAAAGGAGCACGTCTTGGGACAAAAAGAAGGGCCCGGAATTCCAATTGTCCTTCAACAGAAAAATGCTGCAATAAAATGAAATACTTGTAAGTGCACATTCTATAGGTGAGTGGGTGTCAAGATAAACCTGATAAACTGCAGACTAGCTTTAAAGCATGCAGTAGTCACTTACCTTCACTGCCAAATGTTCTTCCCAATCGTTGGTTAAGCTCTTGTAAAATTCTCCATATTCTTCATTAGTAATGTCATCAGGATTTCTGGTCCAAATAGGCTT